GTGTGTGTGTGTGTGTGTGTGTACACTAACAGACATCACGCTGGCTGTAAATTTAATGACATGTGTGTTTCCCTGATGACAATCTGAGTGCTTCTGTTTTTACTTTCCGAGGCCAATTATTTTCCAATAACAAATCAATAAACAAAGCAGCTGGGAGCATCTGGGTCCCAGCAGATGACGATGTTGGTTGGTTGGTGTGTATTTGTTTATGTGTGTATACATGGCAGCTGTTCTGTTCTTCACTGCAGATAATATCCCTGAATGTGTTCCACAGAAATACACACCATTCTCCACATGATTTTTGTGTGTAGTCTTCTGGCATTGATGTCCCAACAATGCCTTTGTTTTGTTATTGTGGAACAGCAGAATTGATTAATGCGATGACTGGATCAGGACAAACATATCTAAATGTGGGTTGTAGGATATACCTACAGTAACAATGTTTTCCTCTGTTGTGTATATTATTTTTATATTTCATTTATTTTAGGTGAATTAGACTATACAGAGTTGTTTCTTGGGTGTCTCCATCACTAGGAACTCACTGTATTTTTGAAATACAGATTCACATAAAGACATATTTTTTTAATATTTTGACTAAGTACATTGTAGGTATATTCACCAACATAACTGAAAAGTTTCACTTTTTTGCTCATCCCAGACTTCAGACCTCAAAATAAATTTACATTTACAGCAGCCTTTTTTCCCCGGTGCTTTGGAAACCCTAAACAGCTGTTGGTCTTTGCAGCACAGAACGACATGGAGGTGCTGTTTTTCAGTGGTTATTATTGTGTGTAACGTGTGTGTGTGTGTGTGTGTGTGTGTGTGTGTGTGTGTACACTAACAGACATCACGCTGGCTGTAAATTTAATGACATGTGTGTTTCCCTGATGACAATCTGAGTGCTTCTGTTTTTACTTTCCGAGGCCAATTATTTTCCAATAACAAATCAATAAACAAAGCAGCTGGGAGCATCTGGGTCCCAGCAGATGACGATGTTGGTTGGTTGGTGTGTATTTGTTTATGTGTGTATACATGGCAGCTGTTCTGTTCTTCACTGCAGATAATATCCCTGAATGTGTTCCACAGAAATACACACCATTCTCCACATGATTTTTGTGTGTAGTCTTCTGGCATTGATGTCCCAACAATGCCTTTGTTTTGTTATTGTGGAACAGCAGAATTGATTAATGCGATGACTGGATCAGGACAAACATATCTAAATGTGGGTTGTAGGATATACCTACAGTAACAATGTTTTCCTCTGTTGTGTATATTATTTTTATATTTCATTTATTTTAGGTGAATTAGACTATACAGAGTTGTTTCTTGGGTGTCTCCATCACTAGGAACTCACTGTATTTTGACATATTTTTTTAATATTTTGACTAAGTACATTGTAGGTATATTCACCAACATAACTGAAAAGTTTCACTTTTTTGCTCATCCCAGACTTCAGACCTCAAAATAAATTTACATTTACAGCAGCCTTTTTTCCCAGGTGCTTTGGAAACCCTAAACAGCTGTTGGTCTTTGCAGCACAGAACGACATGGAGGTGCTGTTTTTCAGTGGTTATTATTGTGTATAACGTGTGTGTGTGTGTGTGTGTGTGTGTGTGTGTGTGTGTAAATGTGTCTAATGGCGAGGTGCACATAATAGCAGGAGACAGTTGCCTTTTCTTTTTAATCATCACACGCAGTGAATGTTGCAGTACTTGATGGAACAGCAGTGTTTCTGCTCCTAATACATGTTGACCTGCTGGTGGAAACTGAGGACACAAACTATTTACCGTGATGTTTTTGTACCAATAGGTCAGTGCAGTTAGTGTACCAGATTAATGATCAGACAGTCATTTTTGTCTCAAGATAGCTGCTTTTACACAGACACAGACACAGACACACAAAAAGACCATCAGGCACTGGCATTGTTTGTTTCCACAAACCACTAATTCATTTCATTTGTACATTTCATATCATATTAATGTTTCCAAAGTGAAGTATTATTTGAGTTGACCTTGTTATTGGAAGGTGGAGGGGGTGGTGGATGGCATGTCACCTATAGACGCCTGCCAAGCTGCAGACCAGTTTGTGATCAACAAAACTGGTTGATTTTTTTATGGAGTCATCACTGCTTTTCCAGCAGCTTTTTAGGCACCAAACATGGGTGTTTGGTAGGGAATCGTCATTGTGTTTCCTGCATGTTTTTAGACCCCAGATTTGGACATTTTTAGTGGCTCCTCGCCTTTTCGCCAGCAGGAATAGTGCCAATTTTTCTTTTTTTTAATTTTTTTTATACCAAGACATCTCTGCATTTTTTATGCTGGGATAGTGGCACCAAACCCAGGTGTTTTATGCCAAAACATGATCTTTTCTTAACCATAACTAAGTGTTTTTGTCCCTAAACCCAACCACATGTTAAACACAGCCTTGCTGAAATGTAAAGTTTCAATGTACAGTACAGACCAAAAGTTTGGACACACCTTCTCATTCAATGCGTTTTCTTTATTTTCATGACTATTTACATTGTAGATTCTCACTGAAGGCATCAAAACTATGAATGAACACATGTGGAGTTATGTACTTAACAAAAAAAGGTGAAATAACTGAAAACATGTTTTATATTCTAGTTTCTTCAAAATAGCCACCCTTTGCTCTGATTACTGCTTTGCACACTCTTGGCATTCTCTCCATGAGCTTCAAGAGGTAGTCACCTGAAATGGTTTTCCAACAGTCTTGAAGGAGTTCCCAGAGGTGTTTAGCACTTGTTGGCCCCTTTGCCTTCACTCTGCGGTCCAGCTCACCCCAAACCATCTCGATTGGGTTCAGGTCCGGTGACTGTGGAGGCCAGGTCATCTGCCGCAGCACTCCATCACTCTCCTTCTTGGTCAAATAGCCCTTACACAGCCTGGAGGTGTGTTTGGGGTCATTGTCCTGTTGAAAAATAAATGATCGTCCAACTAAACGCAAACCGGATGGGATGGCATGTCGCTGCAG